CTCTTTAAATTTTATTTTGCAGTTAATTCGAAGGTTAATATTAACACCATAAATTTAATGGAGAAAATAAATCCCTTTTTTTTTTTGTGCAGAAGGGAGGGAGAATGGAGGGGACTTGAACTCTTGACCTCAAGAAAGCAAAACCTTCACAAGGTAAGAAAATAGGTCCCTAAGAATGTGTTTAGGATAACTTTTTAAATTACTTATAAAACTTACAACTTTTCATAAGTATTTTTAAAAAACATATTATTTGGAACTGCCTCACTACACCCACCACCTATGTCACCCTACCACAACAACTATCCCCACCACCACACCACAACCATCACCATTACCATTACCACCACCGCTATCGCCCCACCACCACTGTCATTACCGCTATAACCACCTTACCGTCTCACCACCTCTACCACAACAACCATCACCACCGCCCCACCACAACTATTGTCGCCATCTTACAATCATCACCACCCTTACCACTCTACCACCACCACTACCACCATTCGCTTCTACTACAAACGATACTTAAATTCTTTTTCTCACATTTATCTTTATAATTTGATTTTGAGTATAAATATAAATATATTTATTATTGATCATTTTTTTTATTATTTCATGCTTTCAGGTACGATAAATAACTAATTATTCTACGTGCACTACTAGCTTATGTCACATCTCAACTTTTGTGCCTCATAAAATATATTTCTTTCCCCTTATAGTATTGAAGTTGAGCATCTTACCTAACAAAATGACTTAATTGATTACGCAGCCTAGTTTATTGAGATGTGAACGAAAATAGTTCAATAATAATGTCGTCTCTTATTACAAATTAAACTAAAGTTCAAACAGAAATGATTCTCTCTCCTATCCTACTATATGGACCATCTTGTGAAGGTGGTATCTTCATCCCTTTCCAAATAAAAGGTCGTGGGTTATGTATAAGACCACGAGTGACAAACTTATGCATCTATTGGAAGAAAAAAAAAAAAAAAAAAAACTCGTTTGTAGTTGGTAAGTGCTGTTGACCAAAAAATACAAAACAAATCATTTATTTTTATCTTATTTATATTTTTTTGTGCACCGTTAAACAATCTTTTTTTCTTTTAAGGGTGCAACAAGAGGATTTGTTACAAGTCCACATCATAGTACTCCTCTTGTCCAGGGGTGGCAACATGTTGTGTAGATTGTGTTTGTATCGTATTATTTAGAGATTCATATCGAAAATTAATCGTCCAGAATTTAATCCATTTATTTAATTGTGTCATATGGACTCGATTATTTATTTTCGTGTCATGTTCGTCTTGACCCTAAATATCGTTAATCAAAAAATTAATGCTAATATATAAGTCTAATATTATATTATCTCCAAATCAAACTCACATTAATATTTTTTTTTAGAAACTAAAAGATTTAATAATAAAAATAAAATTAAAAACCCTTTTTTTGTACAAGAATTATGTCGATGCTTGAGAATAAATAACAACAATATGGTATTTTATTTATATAATATTAGTTAAGCGTGTTAATTGTATCAATTTTGTATTATTCGTGTTTGACATTAATCCGATCCGTTTATTAATTGTGTTATCAGGTCGTTTTATTTATGGTTCTTATCAAGAAATAATCAACTCTAACCCATTAATTTTTTATCGATTTTTTTATCGTATTTACGAATCATGTCAAAATTTGTGACCGTTGCTCTTGTCCAAGCACACTTAGTTACTTAATTCGGATGAAATCTAGTGCATTAGAGCTCATATGGTCGTTAAAAGAAGTGACGTGAGCTATTTTGCAAAACTTATTTGTTTGGTAAGAAAATAGTTTTTTTTTTTTTGGGGGGGGGGGGGTTTAACAAAATTACTCGATTGAAACTCTTTTTAGCATCCCATGTGCATTTTGTTCTTTCGGCTTGTCAAGCCAAAAAAAATTCTAAGAGGCTTGAATTGTGTACTTATGATCAATAGAGAATTATCTTGCGGAGGTGGGTCCTCAATCATGTAAAATGGTGGGTCCTCAATCTAACCCATTTGTCTGTTTTTTTGAGCCCACCAAAAGAAGAAGGAAAAGAGTACTTTGAAGCAATTATTGCTGCAATCTAAGACAGCCAACTTGTTGGATAGACTAGTTTTTGAAAATAGCACTTACCTTATCTAAAAAGATGCTAAATACCATGTCTTATAATGCAATTGAGAGTGCATGAGACATAGAAGAAGGGAGCAAAAAAAAAAAAATATATATATATATATATATATATATATATATATATATAGATAGTTTAAGTGGACGAGAATCAGATTCGGGTGGAGTCCGGGAAGTACAACATCACTAACCATCTAGACTACTTATCGCTTTTCAGAATATAATTAACTATACTTACATGTTAACTCATGAATCTACTCCACCCAAATGTCTAGGTTAATATTCTATCAGTTAATCCTCATCCGTCATATTATAAACATCAAAAAAAAAAGAAAAAGATTTATAAAAAATTATTCGCTAGGGCAAAGAAATCTTTAAGTGGAACAAAAAATTGCAGGGAAAAAAAACAGAGAAGAGGTTGACTATAGTCTATTCCCACGTGTACGTGTGAGTTGTTAATATGATCAATGAAACCTGAACATAGATGGATGTTGCCCACAATAACCTAGAAAACTTTTCTTAAATCAAGTAGAATCACCATGATTCTTCATATGGGTTACTGGATAATAATTTTACTAAATTACTAAGTGACCTTTTTGCTAACACTTCTTAAGGTTGTTGGCAGTACAATGAATGTTATCTTTATCATATTCTTGGTTACCAATAAATTGATGGCAAAATTTCAGTCACACTCTTCCTAATTTACTATATCTTAAATGACACTCTTTCTATTATAAAAAAAACATTACTAACACACCTCTTACTATTAAACTATCATTTCTAACAAAAAAATTCATCTAAAATATCAAAAATACCCCTACATAAACTTCAAGTAATTTTTTTACATAAGATTTTATTAAAATTCAAACCGATTAAAATTTATTTTTTACATATTAAAATTTGAACCAATTAAAATTAGATTGAAGCTGATTAAATTTTATTTTTTTAACATATTAAAATTTATTTTTTATCTATTATTTGAAATCTACCTGAGTTGTTAGCGCCGATTAAAATTCGTTTTCGAGTTAATTAAAATTTATATTTTTTTTACTTATTAAAATTTGTGTCAATTAAATTCGATTTATTAAAATTTGAGTCAATTAAAATTTATATTTTTTATGTATTAAAATTTGTGTTGATTAAAATTCAATGCGAGTTGATTCAAATTTAATTTAAGTCGATTAAAAATAATTTTTAATTGGCTCAAATAGAATTTTAATTAGCCCAAATTTTAATACATAAAAAATATAATTTTTAATCAGCTCAAATTTTAATATGTAAAAAAAATTAATTAGCTTGAATCGAATTTTAATCGGTCCGAATTTTAATACGTAAAAAAATTAGAAAATTGATGGGGTCTCATTGAAGATATGTTTATTTAGAGGAGGTATAAATGAAGTTTGTCCTCAAATATATTATGAGCAATTTAGTAAAATAATATTCTAGTTAATATTTTTACTCTAACAAGGGGTGTCAGTAAAAATTCAAAAAATAAATAAGGTATCCTTAAAAATATAATAAACTAGAGGGAGTGTGGTTGGAATTTTTCCTAAATTAAATGGTTCCACCTGCAAGATTATTAATTTTATACCTAAATTTGGTGGTAATGACATAAGATTATGAAGAACCTTGGACCATTCTGATCTTTTGTCCAAATACCCAAACCCAGTACACATGCAAGTTAAATCGAAGTTGATATGGGCTGTCTTTAATTAAAGGAGAATCCGCAATTCAATTTTTTTCTATCGCTAATCTAAAGATTGCAGTTGATTGAGTGCAAATTTTGGCATATTTTTTACGCACATAGCATTACTCTTAGGTAAAAAGGTGGTCAGGAGCGATCAAACATAGCAATTCCTCTAAAACATTATTTTAAAATTCTCACCCACTATAGAATGTTCAAATTGAGTCATAGCTATTAACATGAGCTGGTCAAGTCCGTCACCACAGCACTATCGCAAGAAGACATAGAGAGTGCATAAGCAATTTATTGCAAGAAGACAATAATCCTTTTCATCTTTCAAAAAATTTATAATTTTTTCTTTCCAAAAATATTATACAAATAGAGAAACTCACTAATGCATAGAAATTGAAGAGAAAAAAGGAGTGATTAATTTTAAGAAGAAGAAATTAAAAATACTAGAGAAAAAAACACTAAAATTTTATTATAAATAAAGGTATAAGCATTATGTTACATAATTTAACTAAAAATAACAACTTTCGACCGTTATATGCCTTATATAACTATCCTTTTATCCCATTAATTAATTGAAATACATTTAAATTTTTTAAAAATATTTATTTATATCACCCCTATAATTTACTATAATTCTTATATAATATACCAAATAACAAACCAAAAAATGTTAAAAAAAAATGGAGAAGATTGTAAATTTAATGCATCGCAAAGGACCACGGCGAAAAAGTTTTTAAAGTAGAAGGAGATAATATGTTCCTGAGTTTGCCCATTAGCAAAATGTGGTCCAAAATAGGAAGAAGCCCAATCATATGTAAAAGGCTCTTAATTTGGGTTGAAAGGACCATTCTTCAGGCATTGATGAGTTTATCCATTTGGGCCTGTCCAAGTAGGCCAATTGCATTGGAGGGCAAACTAAGGAGGGTTCGGACCAACCACCAGCATGAGTCAAAGTCTCAAAGGCCCACTCAAAACCCCCATCAGAACTGTACAGACCAAACTCTCATCTCCACCGTCGGATCATTCCCCCTCCGCAGTCTCTGAGAGATAAAGCCTCCGCAAAATGAAAAACCCTAGCAAAATTAGGGTTTCCAGATCGAGAGAGAGAGCCAACTCAGAAGCCATTCCCAGATCTAAGCTCTCTTGCTCCCCTTGATCTCCGACAATGGCTTCTCAAATGAGCAAAAAGCGAAAGGTCAGTCAAATCTATACATACAAAATATTTACACTTCGATGTATACAAAAATTATGTAATTATGCTTTTTTGTTGTGGTGGTGGTTACAGTTTGTGGCAGATGGAGTGTTCTTCGCGGAGCTGAACGAAGTGTTGACTCGTGAGCTAGCTGAGGATGGATACTCTGGGGTCGAGGTCAGGGTAACTCCAATGAGGACCGAGATCATCATTCGAGCCACCCGAACTCAAAATGTTCTCGGTGAGTTTTCTTTAATTTTTCTTTGTGATTAAGTTTATATTTTCCTTGATTCCTTAGTCTTAGGTTTTTTATTTTTTGGTCTTTATTATTAATTTTGTGCTTTTTATTGTTCTTCAACTTTGTTGGGATTAGGTGAGAAAGGAAGGAGGATAAGAGAGCTGACATCGGTGGTGCAGAAACGGTTCAAGTTTCCGGAAAATAGTGTGGAGTTGTACGCCGAGAAGGTGAACAATAGGGGGCTTTGTGCTATTGCTCAGGCGGAGTCGCTTCGTTACAAGCTCCTCGGTGGTCTTGCTGTCCGGAGGTAATTATTGATTGATTTAATCTTTCCTTGTATATTATGTATGCGATTTTTATAATGGCAAGTTTGTTTTGTAATGGGTTATAATGCAAATTTCCAATCAATACATTGTTTATATTGTTGTGATCTAGTGTTGTCTGTGTACATGTATTTTTTTCTAATTTATGTTATTTGATTGCTTTGACACAGAGTATTCTTGGAAAACAACTATATATTGTGTTATTGTGACTATAATCCGTTCCCGTTTGTATAAATAACTTATTTGTAAATTACCCTTGCTTCATGGGATACTGATTGTTCTAGATGAAATTTTATTTTCTGTAAGAAGGAATGCTATTTTCATGTCAATATGTCATCAACAAAGCAAATCGGTGTTTCTGTACCAATTTTGTGTCGGATGATGACAACATTGATTATCATCCTCTCCACGTCATCATCCTTGTGAAATGCACAGGTTTTCATGCGGTAGCATTAGAGGGGGAACATGATCAGATACTTTTAAGTATTTTTTTTTGAATGACTATTGGGTTTACATTTAATTAGTGGTGATATATATTAACTATATAACTGTTTTCCCATAGTTTTTATGGTCTTCTAACTCTACTTGAGGCCTAAACTTCTGTTTATTTTGTTGTCTTTACTTCATCTTTGAAACACCATTTGCTCTGTCGTCATCTATAAAGCAAATAGGTTATTTCTGTGCCAAGTTTGTGTCGGAAGATGACTACAACAACCATACTTCTCCGGTTCATTTCCTAATGAGTTGTAAACTATTTACATTCGGAAGCTTGGAGTTGCAACATACTTGAAATTGTTCTTCCAAATAAATGCCAAGTTGATTTTTTTTCCTTTTAAAGATTTCTAGTGATCGTGGATCTTTTTAGTCTTAGAGTCCTACTAAAACAACTAATATAGTCTCTCTCTCTCTCTCACACACGCACACACACACACACACTCACACAAAAGAACCCCACTCTCTTTAGGTGTGTGTGTTGCTGGCTTTTCTGAAATTATAGTTTGAGCTTGCATCTCTATGGCTTTTCTGTCTTTCTCCACATTTGCAGAGTAAAGAACATAGATGATATATCAATATGATGTGTTCAGTATAGGGTAGCACGCCAGGGTCTTTGCAAAGATTTGTCAACTTTTAAGTATCGTGGACATATGAAGTTAACCACCAATTTTATTTGGGTTCCATTTTTTTTTTATTTTAGAGTGACCCCTAAATTCTTAAATTGAGCATTTGATGGGCTATATTATTCTGGTTGGCGGCAGTTTGTGCTCTGGCCATTTTGACATCATTGTGGCAGTTTGTTGCTGTCTGTGTGTCTTATTATGCTTCCTTTTGCACTTTCTATTTAGACTTCCATGGAAAATGATAAGCAGTTGTATGTTTCTTTTTATTGGGTTAATATATTTTTCGATGTTATCTTGGTGATGCCAGAGGATATAAACTACTGTCAAATTTCAGCACTATATAAGGACAGGAATGTTTTTTTTTGTTCTTTCATGCTTTGATTCTGGTTCTGGTTCTGGTCAGGAGTTAAATCTTTTGGTTCTTTTAAAATTAATGCGCGAAAGCTTATGCCTCTGATGGTTCTTATCCTTTTAGGGCCTGCTATGGGGTGCTGAGATTTGTCATGGAGAGTGGGGCAAAGGGATGCGAGGTAAACAGCCTCGTGAAATAATTTGTCCAATTGCTTTTACTCCATTATGGTCTTAATGCCAATTTAGTTGGTGCTCATAACAGGTCATTGTTAGTGGGAAGCTGAGGGCACAGCGTGCTAAATCCATGAAGTTCAAGGATGGTTACATGATATCCTCTGGTCAGCCGGTCAACGATTATATTGACTCTGCTGTTAGACATGTTCTTCTGAGACAGGTTTGTCCACTCTGCTTTTTGTTTTTTTTTCCAAGAATAATCCCACCAAATTTTGTTGTTTACGCACTTGAAGATGGCAAAGTCTTCTATAGTAGCTCTTTTGTGATTTTCAATCCTTTTTCTTTTTCATTTTCTCATAGCTGATTCTCTCTGTCTTCTGATCTTTTGGCATGTCATCACAGGGAGTCATCGGTGTCAAGGTTAAGATCATGCTCGGTTGGGATCCCAAGGGAAAGCAGGGCCCCACAACTCCGCTCCCTGATATTGTCACAATTCATCAACCCAAGGAGGAAGAAGAATACATCAGGCAATCAATGGTGCCGGTGCCGACTGATATTGATGTCCCAGCCCCAGTTCCAGTTATGTAGAGCATTCATGTGTGCTGGTCCTCCAAATCATTTCCTAGTGTTATATTTTTTACAAATATTTGGCTGCTTTGTAGTTTTCTTTTTGACAGTGTTGGGAATTATGGAAGACCTGTGCTGAGATCTTTCATCTTTTTAGTTGCCAAGTTATGTTCTACGTCCAGTTGTGAGATGAGATTTTGTTTGCGTTATTTATGTTTTCAGTTATTTGTTTTTTGGTCTGTATTCTCTCTCTCTCTGTGGATAGACGTTAAATAGAGTCGGGTAGGATAGAATAAAATTGAAATTTGTGAGTAATTAAAAAATTGAACAGCCCAGGAAACACAATTTAATGCACATTCTTTGCAATTCTAAGAAGAAAAGTAGAGAAGTTCCACTGGTTGACTATCATCAATCGGTGAACCCCTCTGATGCAATCCTGAAATGAGATATGTATGTTCTGAAAAATGGAATTCCAAATCGTAAGGCTCACAAATTACGGCTGGAATTGCAGCTAATGGATCACAGATTACACACACAATGGTCTAGGCCATGCTACAAGCCTACAAAACATTATGTAGATACAGGAGAGAGAGAGAATCCTCAGAAGCATAGGCAGAACTGTTTCTCAGGTCCGCTTGACAGGGTCAAAGTTGGCAACACCAACCACTGCTCCAGCAATTACACCAAGCACCACTCCACCAGCTGCAATGCTTAGCAAGAAGTTCTTGAGGGATGGTGAAAGGTCTCCCCCAGCAGCCTCCGCCACCTCTGGAACCACCATCGAAGCTGTCAGTGCTGCCGCTGTTAACCCTGTCACCGCCTTCTCCTTCAACGAAGCCTTGGCTTCGAATTTTCCAATGGGTTTCGGTGCAGCAATTGCCTTCCAAGGCTTTACTGGTGAGGGCTTGAAGAAGGCGTCGGAGCTCGGCCATGGCAGCCTCTTTTGGGCCGTGTAAGTTAACGGTATAAACATGGAGACGGCAGTAGAGGCCATTGTCGTTCTACCGAGTAGAGTTTCTTTTGTTGAAGTTTCAGTGTTGAATGAGAGAGAAAGAAAGGGAGAGAGAGAGAAGGACGAGAGAGAGAGAGAGAGCGGGGGATGAGATTGAGAGGTGGAAAATAGAGAGATGGCATTATCATACCCATCTTTGTCCTACGTGGCAGCTCTTCAATTGGCTGTGGTGGATAAGCTTATCTCCGTCAGAAGGAACCCACCAAGTCAAGAGTGGCAAATTTTTTCTCATAAATTAAAAAAAATATATTAAATAGACTTAAAATTTTAATTTAATGATGTGATTATTATATTTATTATTGAATTAATTATAAGTTCTAATAATATTTAAGTCCAAATCCAACAAAAAATGGAACAGGTTGAGCCGAGCCAAGCCATCGCCCTACTGCATTAGGGTGCACCCTAACCTCCATAAACTGCAAGACTCATTATCACAAGGTTTAATGATTCTAATACTAATTATGATGATACGGTGGTACAATTGGTCGTAATATTGTTCATATTTGCTTGTGGAATTGTCCTGAGACCTTTTGAAACCGAAAAAATAAAAATCAACATATTTTCGGTTGGAATAATTCTTCGTGTTACAATAAACACAATGTTCCTATTCAAGTAGAGGAAACTTAAAAATCCATCATTATAGTTGCATTTAGCGTAATTTCTCAAAATTAAAGGTTCATTTCATGGATGGACTTGATGAAACAGAACTTTACCTAATGGACTTCCAAAAACATAGAAGATGTTTGCTGAACATGCAACCTGAAAGTGCATGTGAACAAAAAAAAGTGTATATATATATTCATCTAGAGAATCAAAAATATAAGATAATACGCTTTTTTTTTTATAATAATACTCTCGGACGAATATGTAGAGTAATATATCTACTTATCCATTTTCTATACTACCAAAAAGTGAATTTGCTAGGATTTTCTAAATGGACTTTTCAGTTCAAGAAGTCCATCCACCAGCGGCGCCAAACACCCCCCATATCAGCATCTCTTACTCACTCTCCTGAATTTAAGACAAGGAATGTTCAAACACTGTCACTATGATTCACTATGCCACATTATCATGCAATTCTCACAAAACCATCTCTAATATGGAAACAAACTAGAATCATTACATATAATATTGACAATTGCCTTGTATGAATCTCTGCAGGTAACATATAAGCTTTTCAAGGGATAAAACTCTCGAGAATTGACTCGTTAAGTTACAGAGCAGGCGCGTGTGGGGTGGGGGAGTGGTAGGGGGGTTTGTTGAGGAAATAGAAGGGAAGGAATGAAGGAGGAGGAGGTCTACCAATGCATATAACAGTATCAGGAATTGGGGCACATAATGGGAGCAATGATGCAAATTTTAGACACAATACAGCTTAGGGGAACTAGTAAAAAATGAAAAATAAATTTTGGACTCTGGCAGGATGGTTCATCACCGCGTAACAGTTGTATTTGTCGGGGGTGCAGAACCAACGTAAGTGACATGAACTTCTTGAGGGAGAAGATGATATTTAATACCAAGCTCTTCGAAAATTTTCTTCAGCTCCAAGACTAGATCAGATTTGCGATTGCTCTTTTCTCCATAGTTCTGAAAGTTTGTGGTGTGGGTGACATAGAGCCCCATTTTCATCTTGTTCACATCCTCTATTTCTGTAACCTGCACACTATGGCCAGAACGCCAATGCTGAGGTTTGCTCTCCAAGTACCTGAAATTACAAACATATTATTGGATATTAAAGGGAAACTGTCAAGCGAAGACGTTACTAACAAAGGGAAAATGTGGTATGATTGAGAATTCATGTGGGAGAGAAAACACTTCAATCCTAATGTGAAAAAAGGAGTAAGTGTAAACATAGAAGGAAACAGAACAATTAAAGCAAAGGAAGGTATACTGCTTAGTTTGTCAGATTGCAAAAAAATTTTGTTGGGGATTGAAAGAGGAGATTGAGAAGACCTTAACAGAGTAAATATGAGGTGTTTGGGAACAAGTGTGTAGAATGACTGGAAGACTGGTAATTGCAATCATATGGAATGTTCAGTGAACAATGAAAGATTTCCCATTGTTAAACTATAATTGACGCTCTTCAAACTATAAGTATCCAAGACATCAACCTTCATGCTTCATTTCCTACACAAGCAGATATAATCTTGCTTAGAGCGTTTAGATCAACATTCAAAGAAAAGTGACTTTTCATTATCAGACCCTAAAAAACCATAAGAGATATACAACTTGACAAAATTAAGCAAGGGAAAATTTACTTGATATCTCAGTACACTAAATCTAGGAAAGACACTATGCATGACATTTAGTTTCAGATATAAGACACGAGAACGAATAGAGTTACATACGCTTTTATTTTAGCTTTTAGAGCTACAATGCTCTCAATGGAAGTGGAAACATCAACAGCAAACTCCACAGAATCACTCATCTCTGGACTTCGGTTGAAATTGCTGATCGGTCTAGTAGCCAAAACTGCATTTGGATAGTATATTTTTTCATTGTCATATCTCAGAAAGATTGTTGTCAAAATGTTCACCTCATCAACGACCATCTGTAAAGATCCAAAACTATAAGATAAATGAATTATAGTATCCCTAACCATGAAGACTAATGTATTCTAGCCCCAACAAGGTACCTGTACTCCGTCAATGACGCATCGATCCCCTACATCAAACGGGTGCATCACAAATACAAATACAATGGCCTCAAATACTGTCTTAAGGGTGTTGCCAAACATAAATACCCACAGTAAAAGCTGAGATGAAATGAAAATCAACACATTGGTTGTTGCAATTCCCATCAAAAGTAACCAAACAAAGATGATCAAAATAAATACGATCCCTGAAGCAATCTTGTTCAAATCTTCTATGGCTGTTTTGGCGTCATTCAAAGAATGTGCCAGATATTTGCGTTCATTGTAGGCCTTCACCTGCAAATCAGGAGTAATTCATTAAAGTCAGATAAGAGCATTTTCCCTACCTAACACAGGGTTCAGTCGGTTGATGAAGTGGAAGCAAAATATTGTGGACTGTTGAACTGGTTTAAACTGCTCTCATAATATCCCTAAGAACCGATGATACAACTGATTCCAAGATTCAAATCATTTCAACCATAAAACCACATGTTGAATCGAAATATGCAAATTAAAAGTAGCCTGTCCAAGTACAACAATTTATTTTCTATGGCAATCTTTTCATGTCATACATAGTGAACACTAAGTTCATAATTACGATCAAAGGGAACTACGGAAGACTAGCCAATAAAGCTGTCCTAAGGAGGAATATCTCATGATGAAACAAGCTTAGCTGGCCAGGCTAACCATAAACAGATTACAACAAAGAGGATAGGCAAACACAAGAAGAAGAATATCCACTGGTCCCAATTTTGACGTACTGCAATGCTTTCACAATAAAAATTCTCTTTCAGTGATCTCAGAAAAAGAGAGGCTGCGCACATATATAGAAACAAAAGAAATATGTTCAGGAAACCTGTTTACAAAGACAAACAAATATCTTACCACCCAATTCCTTAAAGATGATTTCTTGATCTGTCCTGTTTCAACAGATCCCTCAAGCAATGGAAGCACATTATCCACCTCCTCGGACGTCATGAAACGCAAAAGGTCATCCTCATCAATAAACCTACTCCATGAAACAACATCAAAAAATGTAACAATTTCAGAACAAACTAAAAGAACCAAAAGCATTGGAACTCTTAATTAGAAGGCCTGTATTCTTACTTGTTGCCACGCTTTGCTACATTTCTGAATATGAAACGAGCAGCAGCCTTTGCTTCCAACTCACTAGTAATCTCTTTTTCCTCAACGCCCTCATCATCCACAATTTCTTCCAATGCCTCAGAAATCGTAAACAACCCTGAAGACCCTATTACTTTTATTAACCCTCCCATGGTCCAAGCAGACACCTTTTCTGGCTTCATCTTGTGAAGCTTATCCACATCAATCACCTCTTCCTTCTCCTGTTTTCCTCCCATAGGATTTTTAAAGCTCAACTGACCACTTTTCCAGGAACTACTCTTTTCTGCATCTTCCATCAATGGAGGCCCCGAAAGGGTCCGAAGAACATATTGATGAAATATGGATTCTTGAATCCTGTCAAAGAATGTTTTGACATGAAAAGAAGAAGCCAAGAGCTTCACCAGTAAAGTCTTCACCATCCACATAGCAGCCCCAATAAGACTAGATGCAAGAGCTCTTGTAATATAATTCAAGACCTTGGTAGTTTCTTTTGATCTCTTGACCCCTCGGTTGATTAACAGACCCCATGCCAGAAGAACCAATCCCAACCAAATGAAAACCCGAACACTCCATTTCAAACCATAAACAAAATAGAGGACCTTCTTCTTGAGCAAAAAGTTCTTTTCAATCAAGAAAACTAGAAGATTAATAAACCACTCAGTAAACAACCGACCACAAAAGATGACCACTACCAATACACACCATTTCCAAATTTCTAAGCTCCAAAGCCTAAGATTCCTCAATCGGGGTATAGTCAAGCTAGTAATCAGAAAAACCTTCATGCATATCAACACAATCCACTCAAATAATATCATCATTTTCACTTTCTTACCCCTTTTTCCTTCATATTGTTTAATATTTGCAGTCTTGTACACCTGGTCATCATCATCCTCATCCTCAGCCTCATCCTCATCATCTTCTCCTCCGGGCGACACCATCAATGGAGTTCTTGGGGTGACTGGAGCTGTCGTTTTGGGTGTAACTGGGCCTGTTTTTGCATATTCTTTAGGAGTACTAGCAGTGCTTCTGTTGGCGGGTGAAGCCATTTTAGGCGATTTCCTGTAAGATGAAGTAACAGGCACCATTTGGGTACCCTCTTCAACCACCTTCGAACCACTAGGATATGGTGGCTCAACTAATCTTGATTTAGGCTTGAAATACGCAGGACGTGGCTTTGATCTTCGTTGAACCGCTGTTGTTCCATATGCGACTTTCGGAGTGTTATTCAGGGTTATCTCTGGTGGAGGAATTTGTAGATTTTGCAGCTCTGTTGATCCACCATTTGGGGATTGTCCTCGGAGATTTTCCGAAAAAGAGTACAAACCTGATTCGAAGGGTGCAAAACCTTTAGAATATTCACTTTGCTTGTTCATGTCTGAAGCTTCTTCAGTATCAGAAATGACTATCACTAGTTCCTTGGTTCTTAACTTTTCTTCCTCGCCTCTTCCTGTTTCCAGGAGAGCCATTCAAAAAATCTTAACACCCAATTCAACCCAAGTTCTGTGATCACTTCTGACACTCAAAACTCACCCACAATTGAACAGCATGAGGTTGAATCTTCATCCGGAAACAGAGATTACAAATGCTCCGTTTGGTTTACAATTGTGAGCAAATTAATAGAATCTCAATACAGCAACTCCAAACTCACATTTTCTTTCTCGAAAACCAAACAGAGGATAAAGCCAACGGCAGAGCACGAACGCAAAGAACAGATATTTTAGGCTTTGCACATAACAGACGGCATTTTTATGGATACATCGTGTGTGTGTGTGAGAGAGAGAGAAAGAGAGTTTTAGATAGATAAGGGGTTGCAGCCTCTAAATTATGGGTAAGCGACGACGACCCGGAGAGGTACATTGGAGAAAGTTTTTGTGGGCTGAGACAAAAGAGTTCGCTCTTGCTATCTCTTCAGCGGTTCTGCAAATTGCTATGTATACCAACTTTTCAAGAAAGAAAATGACACGTTTATCAAATTTTTCATGCAATCTCTGTTTAATAAGACTTATCTATTTGGTGATGAATAATTGAATCCCGTCAATTTGAAATAAAAATTTTGCGTAACATTATTCTTTCAAGAAGGAAGTGAAATGTGCATTTGGTGAGATGAAGCTCTCATGAAAGAAGCGAACCGTATTTGACGTATTTTTTTTTTTGGTCAGAATATTTGACTAATCAATCAGCCACGTTATCGTGGAATTTATTTATTAAATTACCTTACTTTTTAAAAACGGATTCAATTGTTTTTGTTAAAAATCCGATTCAACGACTCTTTTTTTTTTTTTATGTTAAAAAACAGATTTAAACACGCTTTTCACACTGAAGGGTGCTCGAGTTCCTCTTTTTATTTCTCTCTCCGCAAGTGTCTCCCTCGCCGACTTGTCTGCCCACAGAAAAAAGGCTGCGAGAAGCCCAACACAAGCAAAGCTAAATTAGACACACACACTCGCACAAAAGAACCCTTTTTCGAAGTCCCACAAATCAATCGAACTACTCAAATCAAGAAAATCCTAGAGAGATCGAAACATACCCACTTCGTTATGGGGTATCAATCTAGGCAGGTGTTGGGAAAATAGGCTTTCCCACAAGTGTAAATCAATGGAAGCAATATAAATAAAATAACAGAAAATAAATAAGCACACAAGATTTACGTGGTTCCCTCAAATAACTTGAGGTACATCCACGACGACCGGTAGGTCAGTTTCTTCCACTATCACCAAATCAGATTACAAAGTGGCCAAAAGGCATAAGCCTTACAAACACACCAAGGTGTAAATCACAAGAGGAAAATACCTCACAAAATAAGTGAACCAAATCTCCAAGAACAAACCGCAAGAAACCCAAATATCAAGTGAAGAAATGTTACCCACTTGAAGAACAAATTTGCAGATTTTTCTGGCACCAAAAAGGAGAAGAAGAAGGCTGAATTTTTGTTGAACCAAAGACTGCCGAAAATATGTCTTCTTGCCAAAACCAACCGAGAAAAGATAAACCAAAGAAAAGGACAAAACTTATAGTCTTTGGTGGTTGTCAAATTCCTTTTTAACTAGAAGACTCCAAACCAAGTCTTGGATAAGAGTCCTACACGGGTAGGCAACCAAAAAATTAGCAAATTGATGAGTCCCACAAAGGAGGGAAACCCAACAATTCTCCCCCTCCCGACTTATGTGGAGGATTCGACCATTCCCGCCAAAAGTCGACACTTCTCATGCTTGTCCTTAGTCAATGTCTTAGTTAACATATCTGAAGTGTTATCATCAGTGTGAATTTTTTCAAGTTGTAACAACTTATCATTCAAGACATCACGAATCCAATGATATCTAACATCAATATGTTTCGATCTCGAATGAAATGAAGAATTCTTGCTCAAGTGGATTGCACTCTGACTATCACAATGAAGGACATACCTTTCTTGTTTCAAACCCAACTCTTGTAAGAATTCCTTCAACCACAATAATTCTTTGCAAGCTTCAGTGATGGCGATGAACTCAGCTTCTGTGGTGGAGAGAGCAACACATTTCTGTAATCTTGATTGCCATGCCACTGCTCCCCCTGCAAAAGTAATCAAATAACCAGAAGTAGATTTTCGACTATCAACATCACCAGCCATATCAGAATCTGTGAACCCATCAAGAATAGGCTCGCCTTTACCAAAACACAAACTCATCTTTGAAGTGCCCTGAAGATACCTCATAATCCATTTCACTGCTGCCCAGTGTTCTTTCCCTGGATTAGACAAAAATCGACTGACAACCCCAACTGCGTGAGCAATATCCGGTCGAGTACAAACCATGGCGTACATCAAAGAACCAACTGCTGAAGCATAGGGAATTTTCTGCATCTCATTTCTCTTTTCATCACTTGTAGGACACTGACTTGAGCTTAGTTTGAAGTGGCCTGCAAGTGGACAATTAACAGGCTTTGCTTTGTCCATATTGAACCTCTCAAGAACCTTTTTAATATAATTCTCTTGAGATAACCAAATCAGCCCATGTGATCTGTCACGAACAATTCTCATCCCAAGAATTTGCTTTGCTGGACCCAAATCCTTCATGGCAAATGACTTACTCAACTCTGACTTCAACTTGCTAATCTTACTCGTGTCTTGGCCCACAATAAGCATATCATCAACGTAAAGCAAGAGAATAATAAAATTACCATCTTTATATTTCTTCACAAACACACAATGGTCTGAAGTGGTTCTTGAATACCCATTCTCACTCATGAAAGCATCGAATTTTTGTACCACTGCCTCGGTGCTTGCTTCAATCCATACAAGCTCTTCTTCAATTTGCAAACTAACTGATCATTACCCTTATCTTTGAAGCCCTCAGGTTGCTCCATATAAATTTCCTCTTCTAAGTCACCATGCAAAAATGCAGTCTTCACATCAAGCTGCTCAACTTCTAAATTCATACTCGCAGCTATACCAAGCACAGTTCGAATGGAGGACATCTTCACAACTGGTGAGAAGATCTCATCAAAATCAACTCCCTTTCTCTGATCAAAACCTTTCACGACAAGTCGTGCCTTGAATCTCGGTTGAGAACTGTTCTCATCATTCTTTCGTCTGAAGACCCATTTATTTTTCAAAATTTTCTTCCCTTTAGGCGGCTTCACCAAATCATAGGTGTGATTCTCATGCAAAGACTTCATTTCCTCTTTCATTGCCTTGAATCATTCAGTTTTGTTCTCATGCTTCAAGACTTCTTGATAAGTCCCTGGCTCCCCCTGATCTGATATCATCACATACTCATTTGAAGAATATTTTCTGGATGGCTGTTTTTCTCTAGTAGATCTCCTTAACGGTGTCTGTGGTAATGGCTCTTGGGGTGGTTGCTCCCCCTCAATCTCTGGCTCAACATCATCTTCTGCTGCATCATCATGAGGTGTTTGTACTTCCTCATCAATATCATGAACAACAGAGGGATTGAGAGGATCTAAATCAACAAGATCATCAGTACTAGACTCAGCTGACTCAAGCTTGTCGATGTCTTCAATAGTCTGATCTTCCAAGAAAACAACATCTCGGCTTCTGACAACTTTCTTGTCAACTGTATCATACAACCTGTATCCAAATTCTTCATGCCCATAGCCAAGAAATATGCATTGCTTTGCTTTTGGATCAAGCTTGGACCTTTCATCTTTTGGAATATGAACAAAAGCTCTGCAGCCGAATACCCTCAAGTGATCATAGGAGACTTCCTTCCCTGTCCAAACTTTCTCTGGCACATCACCATTCAACGGAACTGAAGGAGACAAATTGATAAGATCAACTGCGGTCCTCATTGCCTCACCCCAAAAGGATCTTGGCAATTTAGAATGTGAGAGCAAACATCTGACTCTCTCAAGAATGGTGCGATTCATTCTCTCTGCAACCCCGTTCTGTTGAGGTGTCTTTTTAACTGTCTTTTCATGCCTGATACCATGATTTGTGCAATACTGATCAAATGGTCCAATATATTCACCACCATTATCCGAGCGAACACATTTCAACTGTCTACCTGTTTCTCTTTCAACCTTGGCATGAAAAATCTTAAACACATCTAGAACTTGATCTTTAGTTTTTAGTGTATAAGCCCAAACTTTTCTAGAGTGATCATCAATAAAAGTGACAAAGTATAGAGCACCACCAAGTGTCCTAACTTTCAAAGGACCACATACATCAGAATGTATCAAATCTAAAACATGAGATTTTCTAGATGCAATGTTTCTACGAAATGATATTCTGTTTTGTTTACCATGGAAACAATGAACACAAGTTTTCAAAGGCGTACCTTTTATCCCCACTAGAAGCTCTTTCTTGGACAAAACTTGCAATCCTTTTTCACTCATATGTCCAAGCCTTCTATGCCATAAATCAGTGGATGAGTCATTCTCTAAGGTATTCACAACACCCTTGCAGATTTTTGCTTGCATAGTGTAAAGAGAACAAGTCTTCTTTCCTTTTGCTACCACTAGAGAACCTTTGGAGAGCTTCCATTTTCCATTACTGAAATTGTTGATGTAGCCTTCATCATCTAACTTTCCAGCAGAGATTAAATTGAGTCGAATATCTGGTACATGCCTCACATCTCTAAGCAGCAATTTGCATCCAATATTTGTTTCCAAGCAAATGTCACCCATGCCGACAATTTTTGACACATCTTCATTTCCCATACGGACATTCCCAAAATCACCTTGTGAGTAAGAAGTAAAGAAATCAGCCCGCGAAGTAACATGAAATGAAGCTCCAGAATCAATTACCCAATCCGTCTCTTGGCCAATCAAATTAACGCTAGCATCATCACGGATAATCATGAGTTCATCATCGGTAACTACAGCTGTATCAATTTGCTTTTTCTCTGAATTTTTCTCTTTGTTCTGCTCCTTGAACTTGAGTTTTCTACATTCCCGCTTCATGTGCCCTTTCTTGTGACAATAATAGCATTCAACATCCTTTTTTGACATCGAGCTTGAACGACCTCTA